TATTTTGGCTAAGCAGTTACTTAATTTTGAATGAATATAACTTTTATGAGATAATATTTATTTCACTATGATCCTGTAAAAACAAAGAAACCTAACTGATTTAGCGTTGTCGATAGCGCTATCGATAGTTTTGTTTTTTTGAGACTATCGTGAATATTGATAGTTTTTCTGAAAACTATCAAAACTCGATAGTTTGACACCTCTACTAGCGATTTAAAGATATTAATAAACATACGCGCTGGCGTGACGTTACAAAAAAACAGGAGTGGGTTACAAAATTGCAAAACTTTGCGAATTGGGCTAGGCTATTTGTATAAAAGTTTTTGTAGTAATATTGGAAATGTTTAAGGTTAATTCCAAGGTTCCAAGTTTTTAAATGTGGAAATATTTTCTGCTTTATGTTTAATAAGCTGAGGTAGTATCTGACGTGACGTTACCTGGCGATACGTTACTAAAATTTCCATTGAACAAGTTTTGTTAATATTGTTCTTGAAAGAATTTTTAACGAGAAGAAAACATGTATTTTATGTCGAACATACTTTTTATTTTGACATCAGCGCCACCAGCGGTTCAATTTTTTGCAAATCTATATCTTACTACGTTTCAACTAAACATGTCAAATGTGAAACAAATCCGAGCATCAATACGGGTTTTCAAAATATCTCGAACCTGGCGCCACCTAACGAGACCATTTTTTGGCAAATACATAACCAGTATTAGCTCAGCTATGCGTACTTGGCGTTGCATGAGAGTTGTCACATAAGGAATCTGTTAAAAGAGCTTTGCGTGTAAGCGATTACCCAACGCATGGCACTTCACATGTAGAAGCCTGTTGGCTTTTAATTTTTACGTAAACATGATGTAGCAGTGCAAAGTATGCGTAACTGAGCTATATATATTATATAAAACAGCTGAATCGGCGTATAAATAAGTTAGATATAAGACTTTATTTTTTTTACGTTGTAGACTTTTCGCCGGAATCGTCCATATACAAAATGTGTACTAGAATCTATGTCAGAAGTAACAACCCAACCGATAAAAAATGTGCGTGCTAAATTTTAAACTTTGCCATCAATGTTTATACGGGGTTCAATGGACTAATACGGGTTAAGCCATGCTCTAATATTTTTGTCACCAATATTAGCAAAATAAATCTCGAAAATAAATAAATAAACAAGTATTTTTTAAGCAAAAAACAAAACCGACTTCAATTCTCATATACAAATTTATGATTATCGTTAGTTTCTTCACGATCCAATTATCGGATTTAAACAAAATTAGTATGGGACCACCCCTGAGGTCTCACCTTTCCGATTAAAAAAGAATCATCGACATTGGTTAACGTTGTTCAAAGTTCTGCGGTAACATGCATAAAAAAAAACGAACTGATAACCTCCTCCTTTTTGTGAATTCGGTGAAAAATAATTTGAAAGTATACACCTAGTGATAATTTCAGCTCGATATTCAAAAACGGTGTAACAGAAAATGGCTTCATTCACGCTGTGTTATTTTCAAATATAAGCCATTCGGTTAAAGTGCCACATACATAAATGAAGTTTGAAGTATATATGATTTACATACTGTTATATAAAGAAGAGAATACATACATATGTACCTACTCGTCCTTATCAAATCGAGTATTCAATAAAAGGACTTTTTAAATCCTTCTTATTATGTACTTAAAATGTTATGATCATTTTGTAAAGAAACACAAAAGAATTTCATACCACCTTGCCTAGATATCGGGTTGTCTGCTTATATGGTTAAATTTTTTAATTTAGTTTGCAACAAAAATACCAGATGAACAAATAACCGAAAGATGCTAATACCTACATTATTTAACAACTACACAACACAACGTATAAAATAAAGTAACACATCTTGCCAGGGGCGTTTGATGTAATGTATGTACATTAAGGAAGTCCCAAAAAAAGTGAAGTCGGAATTTTAATGCACTCTTTTTTAATTTTAAAATTTTTAATTTTTAAATTTTGAAATCGAAAAATATTTAGAGGTTGGGTATTGCTATTAGCAATCTTCTTAAGAAAAACAAAGTTTACCGATTGAAAAATATTGGTTTTCAAGAATTTTATACTATTTCTACGAATGCTTGTTTTTTCCCCTCATAAAATACATGGGAAACTTTGTACGCTCTGAGCAACCTCTAAATATTTTTTGATTTCTAAATAAAAAACAGGGGTATAATTGTTTCGGTATAGAACATTCCTAGGGAATGAGAGCGTTAAAATTCCGCCTTTACCTTTCACATGCATTTTTGGACCACCGTAATATACATACATATCGCACATTTGCCGCAAGAGTGTCATAGTGAAAAAATAAGAAATGCAAATTTTAGTTAAGAATGCAGAAATAACGGCCTCCTCTTCTTTAATGTTGTGCAAAAATTTCATATATACATATACATAAGTACATATGCGTTCATTTTCACCGTGGGAGCGTTTGTAAACTTTGAACTTTTAATACGTTTTTCTCGAGTTTTTGATTTTTTGGATTTTGACTCTCTTGCGGCAAAGGTACGATGTGTAGGAAATAATAAAATATATCGTCGCGTGGCGTGCAATACCACGTATCCGCAAAATGCAATACCACGTATAAAGTGGCATAGAAAAAAAATTATTTTGGTTACCGTGTCTCAATGCTTCCTACTTCACAAATTTAATAGTGCATTATTATAGTAGAAGCTCATATTTAGTAAGTTTAGTTAGGAAACCATTCATCTTATACGCGGTATTGCATTTTGCGTTTAATAAATATTGCAATACAATTTTATACTCTCACCTGTAAATGTAAATATATGTTGTTAGATTTATATATATTCTCACAATGTTTTCATAAAGCTGAACGACGATCCTTGAAACAAAGTTTTCACGCAATAAGCACATTAGAACACATGTAGATTATTAAATATTGTTCCTTCATGTTGAGTATTTAATTTTTTTCGGCGAATTTGATTTGGATTGTGGTTTAAAAACAATGTTTTGACTAAACTATTCGTTCCGATTTAAATTGTTTTCTATTTATATGCAATTACTGTCAATCTGACTTTCGGTGTTGTAATTTTAAACACGGCTTGTGTAATCCCGTTGTTAGCGCGGATGGGATAAGCTCATTCGCGAACACCGATCGAATGTAAACGCCCATCCAACGCGAGGATCTGAGCGATCCTGTCACGATGACACAATCCGTATGTTCTGTGCTGACGTTGAAGGCTTGATAATCGAAATGAAACTGATCTTAACTGCGCAAAAATTTCGCTTTATAAAGACCGCAAGCGATGCAACGCGTGTACCCCTAACAAAATCGAAACCGAAGTACAGAGACGATCGATATTAGCATCAGGACAATGACCATACTAACTTGAAATTCAAGTTTATTGTAGAATAATATCACAGTGAAATTATTGAAAAGTTCAGTTTTTTTTCCATTGTGTTCTTTATAATTGTTTTGCTAACGGATGGAAATCACGTTTGGTGGTGTGAATAGCCAGACACAGTTGTGCACATTAGCCACGCATAGTATTTACCATAGAGTGAATGTATCAAAGTGTGTTTGTGCGTGTACGACGAAGTACACCTGGACCAAAAGCTGGACCAGCATCAGTCGCCGTAATAGCAAACAATAGAAGCATAGATGAATTAAAACCAGTTATGTTTTTCTCGCTGAATGGTGGCGGAATTTTTGCTCAACGTCCTTGACCATTGAACTGTTTACTTATTTGAAATATTTTACTACAAAAAAGGAATAAAAAAATACGAATAAACATACCTTAAATGATGTGAAAACAAATGTCTACCCTTTGAATGAAAAAGTATAAAATCATTGTGTCTGATTTTATAAACCGGATTTCAAGGATATACATACATTAACATGCGTGTTGTTGGTATAAAATTTAGAGTTTTTAATTCGACTGTACTATAAAGGTTTGTTTTCAAGCTCGTAGCTATCTATCTATCTACATACATACATATATAATACGCGAAGGGATTTTTTGTCCAGGTTATAAGATCTGCACCGTTCGTTCCATTTTCAAAATTGTCAAATGGTCAAATGGTGGTGCCAAATTAAAGGCCTTGAGCTGAAGATGTGCAATAAGGTTTTACTTTTTCGAAAAGAGTTGCCACCTGGTAAACAATTAAACTCACATTATTTTTAATTATATTTAATAATCAATGTCATTATATCAGCTCCGACTGTAGATGCGCAATAGGGTTTTACTTTCTCGAAAAGAGTTGCCATATTAAAAAAAAAAGTAAGTTCAAATTATCTGAAAAGTTAAATCAATTATTATAAAAAGAATATCAATTAAAATGGTTTTAAAAAGCTATGTTTAGTAACTTTGCTGTAGGAGGGGTGCCACCTATTTAAAAAAGTTATATTCAATTTGAATTAAGTTAATTGAGTAATACAAATATGGGGGCCAAAGGAAAGGGAACAAGGAGGGTTCCGAGGTGTGCACCATATTTTTGTCGAAGGTTTCCACCCACTATTGCCAACTTAGTGCTTTTCTTAATTCAAAACGCGAAAATTTTTGGAGTTGGTGCTTGGTGCGTTTTTTGGTGCTTTTTTTTTAGTTTGAAGACCCCAAAACTGGCACCCTGAGATTGTGCATAAGGAAACTGTGCATACGAAATAATGGGAAATCGAAATTGAGCAAATGAAAACTGTGCATTTAGACATGCGGTTTCAACCGCCTACGCAGAAAGAAGTTCTGCGCAAAAATACTTCCAGCCCCCTTTTCCGGCAACACAGAAAGGAGAATTCTACTTAGTAAGGGATATAATCCAAAAGCGCGGCCGAAGGCCGCCTACGCAGAAAGCAGTTCGTTTTCATGTATGCACTATTTCGGATGTATTATTTCGGTTTCCAAACGAAAGAGTGCATATGCATAATTTCGGTTTTTCTAATATGCATTATTTCGGTTTTCTACCGAAACTGTGCATATATGCATTATTTCGGTATTTTTCGTATGCATTATTTCTGGAAACTGGATGGTTCCGTGCGCAGAAGTGGAAAACTTCTAACTGCCATTCACCTGGGAGTGGTCAGAAGCGATTCTTGTGCGTACGGTTCAAATCGCAGCTCACAACGTCCGGATATTTATATCCACGTATCCTCTGGGTAGCAACCAAACACCCGTTTGGGAGCGAGCTAAAGTGAGAAGGCGTAAAACTTCGCGTGCGGGGTAAAATCCCGCCCAATGAAAAAATCTAAAAAGCCTCGGATGATACCCCCTTTTTCTGATGATGACCACGGCAAACGTATAAAGGACTATGATTTAAGGGTATGCACCTGGAATATCTGGACCCTTAATGGGGAAGGTGCCTCTGCCCGGCTGGTTGATGTCCTCGGGAAGACAAAGGCTGACATCACCGCCATCCAAGAAATGCGATGGACGGTGCAAGGAAAAATAAGCGTGAAGCCTTGCGACGTCTACTACAGTTGCCACGTAAAGGAGCGAAAATTCGTGGTAGGAGAGAGACTCCGTCGCCGAGTACTGGCGTTCACCCCGGTGGACGAACGTCTAGCCACAATCCGCATAAAAGCTAGATTCTTCAACATCTCGCTCATCTGCGCCCATGCCCCGACGGAAGAGAAGGATGAGGCGTCCAAGGATCTCTTCTATGAGCGCTTGGAACGTACATATGAGCGCTGCCCCCGACATGATGTCAAAATCGGGCTTGGCGATTTTAATGCCAAGGTGGGCAAGGAAGGGATCTTTGGCGCCACTGTCGGAAAATTCAGCCTCCACGTAGAAACGTCCGATAACGGACTGAGGCTGATCGACTTCGACGGCGCCCGAAACATTGTAATATGTAGTACTAGTGCCAAACATCAACTCGGACCACTATCTTGTTGTAGCCAAGATACGCACCCGCCTCTGTGCAGCAAAAAATGTGCACCCAACAACGCAAGGAAAGCTTAACGTCGAAAAGCTGCAATCACAACAGACGGCCAATTTATTCGCCACTCGACTCACACACCTGCTCTCTGAGAGCACTTTTCAACAATCCGACATACGCGAGCAGTGGAACCACATTTCCTGATCATTAAGTACCGCCGCCGAAGAAGTAGTTGGATTTCAGCGAGCCCGAAAGAACAACTGGTACGATGAAGCCGCAGGGAAAAAAGATGCCGCCTACAGGGCCACGCTGCGATCGGGCGCAACGCGAGCCATGTGGGACCGTTATAGGGAACTGAAGAAGGAAGCGAGACGTATTTGCCGTAATAGGGAACTGAAGAAGGAAGCGATACGTATTTGCCGCAATAAGAAGAGAGAGGCCGAAATACGTAAGTGCGAAGAGCTTGAGATGCTGGCCGAGAGGAAGAACGCCCGAAAATTCTACCAGAGGGTTAGGCGACTTACGGATGGTTTCAAGACCGGGGGCGAACTCCTGTAAGAAGAACAATCGCCACCTAGTGACCGATGTCCAGAATATACTTAAATTGTGGAGGGAACACTTTTACAACCTACTGAATGGCAGCAGCGCTGAAAGTAGTGAAGAAGACGAACCCGAGTCCCCAGTCGATGATGATGGAGTAGCTGTCCCACCGCCTGACTATGACGAGGTGCGAATAGCGATTACGCGGCTGGAAAACCACAAAGCTGCTGGAGCTGACGGCCTGCCAGCCGAGCTATTCAAGTACGGCGGCGAGGAGCTGATGAGGTGCATGCATCAGCTCGTATGCAGAATATGGTCAGATGAACGCATGCCCGACGACCGGAGTTTAAGTGTACTCTGCCCAATCCACAAGAAAGGCGACCCCGCCATACACGCCAACTACCGCAGAATCAGCCTTCTAAGCATAGGTTATAAGGTCTTATCGAGTGTATTGTGCGAAAGACTGAAGCCCACCGTCAACGAGCTAATTGGACCTTATCAGTGTGGCTTTAGGCCTGGAAAATCCACCATAGATCAGGTATTCACAATACGCCAAATCTTGGAAAATACCCGCGAGAATAGGATCGACAGACACCATCTATTTGTCGCTTCCAAAGCCGCTTTCGACAGCACGAAGAGAAGTTGCATTTATGCCGCGATGTCTGAATTTGGTATCCCCGCGAAACTAATACGGCTGTGTAAAATGACGTTGAGCAATACCACCAGCTCCGTCAGAATAGGGAAGGACCTCTCCGATCCGTTTGATACCAAACGAGGTTTCAGACAAGGGGACTCCCTTTCATGTGATTTCTTTAATCTGATGTTGGAGAAGATAATAAGAGCCGAAGAACTGAACCGCTCAGGCACAATACTTTACAAGAGCGTACAATTGCTGGCGTATGCCGACGACATCGATATTATCGGTAAAAACAAGGGCTACGTCTGTTCGGCCTTCTCGGGATTGGATAGAGAAGCAAAGCGAATGGGTCTGGTGGTGAACGAGGACAAAACGAAGTATCTCCTGTCATCACAAAAACAGTCAGAGCATACGCGTCTCTCACTGTTGACAGTTAAAAGTTTGAAAAAGTAGACGACTTCGTTTATTTAGGAACCAGCATTAACACCAATAATAATGTCAGCATTGAAATCCAACAGAGAATCACTCTTGCTAACAAGTGCTACTTTGGGCTGAGTAGGCAATTGAGAAGTAAAGCCCTCTCTCGTCGTACAAAGATCACACTCTATAAGTCACTCATCATGCCTGTGCTGGTGTATGGCGCGGAGGCATGGACAATGAAAGCATCTGATGAGGCGACTCTTGGAGTTTTCGAGAGATAGATTCTGCGAAAGATTTACGGATCTTTACGCGTTGGTGATGCCGAATATCGCAGACGATTTAACAATGAGCTGTATGAGCTTTACAACGATATAGACATAGTGCAGCGAATTAAAATTCGGCGGCTCCGCTGGCTTGACCATGTCGTTCGAATGGACAGAAACGCTCCTGAATATATTTCATTATTCTGAAAATATACAACGCGGGCCGCGATGCTGATAACAGAGGAAGAGAAAGGCCTCCTCTACGCTGGAAAGACCAGGTGGAGAAGGACTTGGCTTCACTTGGCATTTCCGATTGGCGTCAGTTAGCACAGAAGAGAAATGACTGGCGTACTGTTTTGGACTCGGCCAAAATCGCTTGGGCGGTTACAGCCCCAATAAAGAAGAAGAGAGAGATGTACGTTAGGGTGGCCCAAAATAAAGTAAAGTAAGAATTTTAATGCCGCCACCCCCT